TCCTCACTCAGGAAACGAGAAAGGGAGGAGAGCCATGGGTGCTACCGTGGTACCTATAAATGCCAGACGGTGACAATTGGGAAGTTGTCACTAAGTATTCATAGTTACCTTGGAAGAACCATTTATCTTATTTTTTAGAATTTTCATGAGTAAAACCCATATGCAATAACCCAACATTTTCTTAAATCAAGTATTTGAGTTTTTCTTGAAAGCGTAAATGTCATATCATTTGAAATAAATACATCAACAAATGTCGGTACCTCAAACTTCTATGTCAACATTCCGTGATTAACATTAACAGAAGTTTTACTCTAAAGACCTGTAAGGTTGAGGACTGAATTGTCAATTTTTAAAACTTAGATAACAAATAGAAACATATAGGTGAACGAAGGTATATTTTTATCGTAATGAGAGTTGTTCCAATTAAAACTATACTACGAAAGAAATAGAGCTTTTGACTCATAAGATATACTAGCTCATGATTTTTATTTTAATTATTTATTATGCGTTAATATTAATAAAATTTTAAAATAACAAACATTACAATTAAAAACAAATTTATCATTGTTTTAATTTATAATAATATTAGCATAGATAATTAATTACACAACTATAAATAAGTAACTACTATATCTCTAATTTATATATCGACTACAAATTTTAGTATACAAAATTAGGTGTCTGTTTCCGAATCCATAAATTTTAGGTCAGGTTTACTTCCGAATAATCAAAATTATGATCAATGGAATCAATCATATGTTTTTTCTTTTATGTTATTTGCTATAAATTTTCTGAAATTGTAATCATAAATCTTTTAAGGTTGTTTACTGAAACTAAGTTGGAATGTGAATTAGATAAATAACAAGTACATTCATTTTTTATTTATAACTAATTACAAATATATTATTGTGTTAATTTTTTATTTAAAACAATAATTTATTTTTAATAATTTTTACTGTAACAACTTATTTATATTAACAAATAATAAATAGTTAAAATAAAATTACATCAATTAAAAAAAATTTATTAAAAGAACCAACATTAATATAAAATTTTATTGTTCTAATATTAAATAATAATGAATCATATTTTAAGTATATGTATTGATATTAATTAACAATAACAAAGTAAAATTAAATAGAAATTTGTAACATTCCACATGTTAAATATAAGCATCACATAACTGCGTATCGGTTAAGAACGACGATGATCTACGTTTCACACGGCACATGATTCCATGGATAGTTTTATTCGAGATCGTGATGGAGGATCTAGCTTATGATCACCGGTTTTGATCATGCCACTAGACATTTGATTAAGACATTGCACAATGATCCAAACACTTTGTCGCATCTCTGGTACTTCAAGATCCAATTGGTCATGAACATCGTAAGGTGCTGCTCTTCGCAAATCCCAACACTTCACTTTCACTTAGGCTCGGGTCAAGTCGGTAGGGCGACCCTATCGGACTCAAACAAACTGTACGTGAGAGTTTCCCTTCGTACACAACTCGAATCATTATCAGATGCCCCAAAAGGCAACATTTCCTTGTTTGTTGCGTGCAAACAAGCACCAACCACAACCAAGAACTATGACCAATAGAGTTAGACACTTAGCTACATTCGCACGCAAAAGGAATGTGGTTCTGGTTGAGGCTTTCTTTCCTTTATTAGTAAATGAGATCTCCCTTTCCCGTTCACTCGACCTTTCTCTGAGGTTAAGCTCAACCGGGCGGACCTGATGATCCGCATGAGGCTCCGCGGGAAGCTTCTGCACGACTATCTTAGTGGCAGGTGCACGGGAGGGTGAAGGCAAAAAAAAAAATAGAATGGACTTCTTTGCCTTCCTTCATGTCGTAGTCTTACCTTATCAACGGGTCTTGCGTTAGATACATACAACATTTTGTTTGACTCATGCCTTGGAGAAGAACGTTCTTTGTTTGAGTTTGAAGTCGTCATCTTGCAGGAGTCACCTGGTTATACCCTTCTCTCCTTTTTTGATTATTTCCATATGATATGTTGAATAACTTCGTATAGTCGACTAGCATCGACTGTGTCTGCTTCAACTTCACCCGTCACTCGTATCGGTATTTACAAACCACCAATATACCTGATTTGAATGTTGATATATTTGCTATGAATATCACTTAATCAAAGGTATACTTGAATGTTGATATATTATGTTTTACTCCAACGAAAAAATTTCATTTTAAATTATAAGTTGAAATATCAGTTTTACTCAAAATTATAGATTTTAGATAACATCATAGAAACTTTTTCCCTGACACAAATGAAATCGTTCAAAGAATGAATATTAGACTTTTTTTGTTTATTATTTGGAATTAAGATGTCATTCATGGTACATTTAATTAGGAGGATATCTTATAAAAGTTTTTACTTTTAACATTAAAGTTATTAGAGCAATATTTGGCCTAAAATAATTATGTTTGATCATTGGTCTAAATTATAATGAATATTCTAAATTTAATGAAATTCATCGGGAAAATAAAATAATTACTTACATTAAGAACACATGTTTCAAATAACATATACAACAAAAGTATTATCATAACAACTTTCATCATAGGTTCTGAAAACGATGAAATCATAGTAAAGGCTACTCATTTAATGTATTTTGATGTACTTCAAGTATGTAATGATTTACATTCATATAAGAAGTATATCAATTAAAACTAATATATCGTGATATACTTCATACTAGGTCTATTAATTATAATTGATGTGCTTCATATAAGGTAAGTCAATTATAAGTAAATATACTAGTATGTACGACATCAAAGTATATAAGATTTACATTAACGTACCTATAAGGTATGTCAAGTATATCATTGATATATGAAGTACATCAATAACAAAGGATATGATATGAAGTAATTAACATAGTATACCAAGGTAAATCACCGATTTGATATATCACGATAAATTTAGAATAACAAAAAATTTGAAAATCGTATTTACAAAATTATGTCATTTTTACCAAACTCAAAAATTTGTTACTATAATCACGGTTTCAAATGTCGAGTGACATGTCGATTTGTTTAGGTGTTCGACATCGACACGGGAGAAAAGTCGTTTTCCTCCAATGTCGTCGACATGTCGACTCAAATATCATTTCTTTTTATAAATTTAGGTTATTTTATTTTTTTATGTTCTTCTTACTACAATCTATAATTTCTCACAACCTCGATATCGTAATCTTAACCTGTCCAATGCAACATTCGCATTTTAATATAAAGATTGAGTAATAAGTATAACCAATCAGATCGTTACGAATATAAGATTTAGAATTTACTTTATATTGTTCTATTAAAAGTAGCTGACTACTTTTTTGAGTGTCTTTCGTAATAGGAATTTACCAGGAAATAATATAATTACCGACGATGACACATCTGGTGGAGGAGGTGACACCAATGCTTACAACCAAGCAGAGGTGGGGTAGTCCAGGTTAGAAGAGCAAAGTTATGGTCAATGAAGTTATTATAATTACTCTGGGTATGGTCAACTTGAATACTCACCTATGACTATGATTATCACCCTCAACCTCGTGATTGTGTCATTCATCCAAATTATTTACCAATGAGATCCATGTGTGCTTCGTATGAATCATATTCTACTAATTTGAACAACTACCTTCAACACTTTCAGTATAGGATGATCTGGAATAACTATTGTCATTTATATTAAAGTTATCAAAATAGTACACTAGATTCTTCAAGATCATCTTTTTGGTATGAATTAAGTTACATACCCCACTTAATGTATCACAACTATTTGTATATAATAATATTTTATTTTTTAAAATTTATACGATTATTTCAATCATTATATATGTCAATATATTTCACATATATTGTTCAATTATGTAACTAAATACTAGATTGGATTAGAAAATATCAATAAAACATAATCAAGTAACAATGAACTTTAATTTAATAATTCAAATAATTTATAGAGGATTTTGTTCCAATATTTTAATCGCAACATTCAAATAATTTATTACTTATGGAAATTATAGACAAATAATTTAAATATAATGGTTAAAAGGGGTTTTCTTTTAATATTGTTGTAAATGAAACTTATTTTAAAAATATTGTAGTTTTAAAAAATTAAAGGTTGGTCGGAGAGACAACCATTCAAATTTCTCTTGAAGACACGATCACGTCTTTGTTTTTTTTTAATATTAACTGTGGTCGACCACATTAATTTTTTTTCCAAAGAGACAACCACATTAATTTTTTTTTTCCAAATAGATGTGGTCGTCTTCATCATCTTCAATCTTCAAGGTTTTATGTACAGACTCTAATGGAAAAACAATCCTCTCTCTTACCATTTTGTTGTTTTTTTTTTTTTTTTGGAATTTTCAGTTTCTTGATCTCCTTCCTCTCACCTCTGTGAAAAACGTGAAGTGTGAAGTGTGTGTGTGTGTGATTAAGCGAGAAAAGATCAACCTAATGCACTAAACCCACCTCCCTTCATCATTTGCTTGAATTCTTTGTAATTCACCATTCCATCTCCATCCACATCCACCTTCATGATCATCTTCTTGCAATCCTCTGGACTTCTACCTTGCTTAACCCCCAAAGAAGCTAATCCTGACCTCAATTCATCGGTGATGAATCCGTCTCCGTTCTGGTCGAACACGTTGAAGGCTTCTCTCATGTCTTCCTCCTCGTCCCGCTCCTCCATAATCGATTTAATGGTTAAAGATGATCAATTATAGGCTAATTAAGCTATCATTCAAATTTTATTTATTAATTCAAAAAATTTCTACCAATTTACACAATTTCCACGATTTTTTTCAAAATATCCGTTGAGATCGACATGCCCATAAAATCGACACTTCGACATTTTCATCGATATCGATATTTCTAACACGGACTATAATAACACCTATGTAGCTGCCCATTACAAATTTCCCCCTTTAAAAAAAATTCCCTTTTAAAAAAAAATACAAATTTTCTAAAATAAAGTCCGCCCCTCTTATTTTGCAATAAGAAAAAGTCCCAACGTTTTCTTTTCACTATCCCGACGCGAAAAGACGAGGGAGGAAGAGGCATTTTTATTGCGATCTATTTATGGCTACTTTGGACTCCGACGTGCCGATGGTTCCGGTCGGCGAGGCTTCGAGCAGTGCCGGTCCTTCGTCTACCAAGAAACCTAAGCGTTTTGAGATCAAAAAGTGGAACGCCGTCGCTCTTTGGGCATGGGGTAGTTTCGAAACCCTAATCTACAGCTCTTCACACGGCGTTTCGATAAATGCTCTCACCGTCCTGTTTGCCATCGCACGTCGAATCTCTCATCTCTAATTCTCGTGCTATTCACTTCTTTATGCAGATATCGTTGTCGACAACTGTGCGATCTGCAGGAACCATATCATGGATCTTTGTAAGTTTATCATCATTTGACGGAAGTTCTAAAATATCTGGAGTAGTCTTCTTTCTCTTCTTGTCCGTCGTCCTGCTTCTTATTTTGTACCTTCGTTAATATATATTTTTATCATGCACCATTGTATGGCATACAGGCATCGAGTGCCAAGCAAACCAGGCTAGCGCAACCAGCGAGGAATGCACTGTGGCTTGGGGTACGTTTTTTTTATTCCCCATGCCCATGCCCATCCCCATTCCAAACTCACACACACACAGATACAACGTGCTATTATTTTCTATGCCTTTGTTCGCCCGTCAAAGTCTGAATTAGCCAAAGACTCGAGGAGAAGATAGGCAGCTCAACTCCTCGAGGAAAGGGCTTATTCATAGTTGGCCAGTTACCCACACCCTATTCATGAATTATCTCCCCCTCCGCCCACGCGAGTGAATAATAAAACGGGTGAATGGGGTACTTGGACCATATCCTCTAGAGATCACTTAAGCTTAAACCACACTAAAAAATTGCCTGCCTTCATTCTTTCTCCCACTTATTTATAACAAATCTCCCTAACTTCCATAACAAATTACTAATATACTTCTAATACCCTAATATTCCTAATACTATCCTAATAGCATTCCTATCCTTTTGCTAAAACAAGGCTGATGATTGAAGGAAATTCTAAATTGAATGTGCATTTGTGTGCGAAAATAGAACTTTGCTAGGGAATCATTTTTTATGATACAATTTCCAAATTTATGTGCCTTTTTTTATTTATTTAAAGGAATTAAATTAAAGCAGTAAGGTGTGGCAGAAGAAACAATATTATTGAATTTAATAACAAGGAGAAACTTAACTTTGAAGCCAATGACTGTAGGAAGTTGCTGGAATTACTTACCCAAGCCAGGATTTTAAGCAGCAAGGATGGATAAGAAAAGAATACGAAATAGAGGAGGTAGAGTAAGCCATCTAGTTAATTGGGGTACAAAGTCTTCATGGATTGAGAAGGGATGTTGAGAAGCGGAAAAGTTTAGGAAGAAGACTTATCTTTCTTTGGAAAGTGGACCTGGAGATTTCAACTGGAACTGAGTGAGTTATGGTGCAAGGGCATTTTAAGTATTTAGGACAAAAATATGGGTCAAGTTGGTTCACAAAAAAGAACATAGGAGGAGATTATTCTAATTTTAAAGTGGATATTGGTGCTGAGGATAAAGGTTTGGAGGAAAACTTGGTGAGAAAATCAATGGTTGATGGTGAAATTTTCGAATTTATTTCCTGTTTTTTTGAAAGGAAATGTGAGTGGGTGACAAATAAACAAGTTCCAAGTTTCCAACAACTCAGTGACATGGAGGAAATTCACAGATCAGGAAGCTGATGACTATAGCTAGAGTTCCAAGAATTATATGGTCTTATCAGTTTGCTGGGATGTATGAGATCATTTTTTCGAGTGATTTGAGGTGTCTTCGACCTATAACAGGGATTGTAAGATGATGATGGAGGAGCCGTTGTTATCCATAGGGGAAGGTTTTTGTGGCAGGCCTTTTCCTTGTTACTTTGTGGAGAATTTGACTGGAGAGAAACCATAGAATTTATGGGGGTGGAGTTATCCAAGGGTATATTTGGGAGCATATTAGATTTAATATTTCTCTATGGGTCAGTTTCTGAAGTTTTGTTGTAATTATCAGGTACGTGTTATTCTTTTGGATTAGAGTTTTTTTCTTTACGGGATGTCCTTTGAACTGTTTTTTGTATTGTATACTCTTGTAATTTTTTTTTTCATTTTTCTCGATGAAAACTTAGTTTTTTTATTAAAAAAAAAGGAATATAGCTAAAGTTGTTGGATTTACTTTATTGGATCAAGGATTTCTAGAAATTATGATAGGGTGAGAAAAGAAAATTAAATAAAGGAGGTAGACTAAGCCATCTTATTAATTGGGAAACCTCAACTTTATGGATTGTTAGGACTAGGGATGTTCAAAAGTGGAGAAAACGTGGGGAAAAAATTAGCTTTACTGGCAAGTGGCCTCGGGGATACCAAATGGTACTTAATTTATTGTGCTAGATCATCTTAAGTATTTAGGCAAAGAGGAATCAAGTTGATTCACAAAGAACATAGGAGGTAATTTTATTGCTCGTGGATTGAGGAAAAAGTTTTGGAGGAAAGCTTGGTCAGGGAATCAAATATTTATGATAAATTTCCAATTTTATTTGCAGTTTTTTAAAGGAAGGAAACCAAAGTGGGGGTGAGGTGTGGGAAAAAGAAGCATTATCAATTCTGTTCCTTTTCATTATTTCAATGAGAAGTTCGTATCTTGTTAAAAAAAAAGAAGAAGCATGATCTTTGAGTTATTGACAAGGAGGAACTTATTAGACTGGGATGCCAATGAATGTAGGGAACTTCTGAAATTACTTAGCAACCAAGGATTACATCAAATAAGGATAGGATTGGAAAGGAAAATCACATAAAGGAGGGTCGGTAAGTGAGTTAGTTAATTAGTAAACAGAAACTCTATTGATTGAGAAGTGGTGTACTCAAGGATGAAAACTTTCTTTGTTGGTAAAGTGGATGTGAAGATTCCAAATGGATTGAGCGAGTTATGGTGTTAGGCCATTTTAAGTATTTAGAACTAGGATGGTAAAGATAGCTTGCTTAATTTGTACTTATATATATATGTATATATATATTAAAAGTTTTCCTTTGGTTTAAAGTTGTATTGCGAAAAAACTCAAATTCATGGCCAAGGAAGAAATTGTGCACGTGGATCTTGATGTTAATAATTCATGGATATATCAACTAGCATTTTGATGTTGACCAATATTCTATCCTAACAAAGATTATCGCATTTGTATTAATTGCTCAATATAGTTATAAATAATATTTGGAATCTGTATGCGTAAATGTATTGATAAATTTTAGTTGTTACTTCTAGCTTAAGATCGTTATTAGGACTGTTGTAAATTGAAACTTTATCGAACTTCTGTATGTAACATTATTTTGCAATTATGTTCAAACTTTTATGTGCCTTTATGCCTCGATGTTGAATTGTAGCAGGGGCCAACAACTGATGATACGTGGTTTTGTTTCCTCTTTTGTGGTTCTTAATACATTTCCGTTTCTTATCAAACAAAAAAATGATACGCGTTGTTGAAAATTTTGTGTTTTAAATTTGTAGGGGTGTGTAATCATGCATTTCATTTCCACTGTATCAGTAGATGGTTGAAGACACGTCAAGTTTGTCCATTGGGTATGTATTAAGTTCTTCCCCTATCCTCTACCCACATCTTTTATCAATTTCGAAAATTTGAAGGAAGCTTTGCTATTTTACAGATAATAGCGAGTGGGAATTTCAGAAGTATGGACACTAGAACTTTCATGCCGTTGAGGATATGGATCCTTAAATTCTCATTGGGCTGTAATGGTGTCGACAGTCGACTCTTCGATTTTATGATTTTCTGAAAATAGCGATATGATGCATTTTGTTGCACAACTGCAATTATCCAGAGAACTAAGTGCAGTCCGCTTGCGTGAATACATTATTAGATTCTGTTTCGGGATTGTTTATAGAAATAGGCTGGCACTTAATTGTTCGTTCTTGCTTTCTCGTTACTATCTCTATACTTTACATCCGGAAATTTTGGATCTTATTGTTGCCATTTGGTTCTAGTTTAGGTCCGGATACACATAAAATAAAGCGAAAAATACACTTTTGGTCCTTAAAATTTGAGTTAGGTGTCTATTTGGTCTTTGAAATTTCAAACGGTGTATTTTTAGTCTCTCAAGTTTGATAAATGAGTCTAAATGGTTATTGACTGTTGATTGAAATATGCCACATATGGTGTGGCAGTTAGAACTTTTTTTATTTGGTCAATTATATTAAATTTTATTAATTTTTGGTGATTGGAATAGCCATCTTTTTCTTTTTCCTTTCTTCCTTTCTTCTCTCCTTCGACCAAACTCACCAGCGGCGGTGTCAGTGACTACCACATCTCGTCATCGCTCTGCCTTCCCTCGACATACTCGCTGTCGTCTTCACTGCCACAATCTGTCACCTCTCCCTTACCCCTCGGCACCTCCATCGCTGCTCATCTAAGAACGTTCGACCTTTGTTTCAGATCTACCATGAAGGGAGGAGCTCCTTCGTTCCAGATATGAGACGGAAGGGAGCTCTCCCTTCATGGTAGATCTGAAAAATGAAAGATTTAGATATGTAGATCTGAAAAATGAAAGTTTAGACTGTACTGAAAAAACGAAAGCTTCAGGGTAGATTTGTAGATCTGAAACTTCATGGTAGATCTGAAAAACGAAGGGTTCCTCGTGGTAGATCTGAATGGATCGCAGAGGTGGAGTCGTCGTGGGGAGGTGGAGCTTCAGGGTAGATTTGTAGATCTAAATGTTAAGTACAAGGAAATAAAAAAAAATATCAAAATGTCAATAATATATATATATATATATATAATATTAATATTAATTATTTTTAACTAATTTAAAAATAAGAAAATATTTATTTGTTCATTTAAATATTTTTTACGATTTTTTAATTTTTCTAACTTTTACATAAATATCCAACATTTTATCGATGTCTCCATCGATATTTTCATGAAATTTAGACTTCGACGTTTCTATTAACATCACATTTAAAACATTGGTCTAATCATTAAAGAAATATATAAAATTAATGTCTAATAAAAAAATTAATATAATTAGCTAAATCAACGAATTCATTTAAAAAATAATTAGATTTCCTTTAGTAACGGGTAAGTGAATTTAAGGATCATTTTAGATTCATTTATCAAACTTGGGAGACTAAGGATCATTTAGATTCATTTATCAAACTTGGGAGACTAAAAGTGTACCGGTTGAAACTTCAGGATCAAATAAATACCTGAGCCTCAAAGAACGAATACTTTTAAAGTGATCTTAGATTTGAAAAATCATTAGCATTGTGGATTTGGTTGAAATTCAAAACACAGTTAAAAAATTTTCTCGTACTTGGGCCATTTTTTGTGATGATCTTGAGTTTCAATTTGATTTATTTAAATCTTTATGCACTGGGAATCGACTACCAAACTCAAACTCTTGTCATTGTTCGTAAGCTATAGTAATTAGCACGTGGTACCATCTATATTCTCACCTACTTTCACCTTTTTTCTTTCACAAAAAAGGAAAAAAGTACGAAAGAATTTTGCACTCCCGATCCAAAGTTATATCTTTAGTGTAATGGGAAAAGTTGATTGAAGACATTACCGTAACTCCATAGGAGGAATTGCCATAGACCGAAGGAAGAGCAAGCCGCCGGTGAGATTGCACATAGGTTCACAGAAAGCCCTCTGTCCTTCAAGGCCTTAAAGATGAGGTCTCAATTTCAATTGCCAACCAAATTACATTAGCAAACATTGGTGCGGTGAAAAGTTTAAAATCTTGCATTATTGATCTCATTCATTCAGAAAAAGGCCTCTACATCAACTAATACTGTTAGGTAAAAAATTGATTATTATGATATAGCAGTGGCATGGGACCCCCTTCCCTCCCCAGAAAACCAAACTGACGTTTTTTATGATTGTATGGACCTGAGCTGACCTCTCTCTCAGTTTGTGCAGGTAAGGAATTCGGGATTGCCCATTCTTCTCACTGTTGCTGCCAGAAGCTCCAGTTTTTGCTGATTGCATCACCCACCCACAGTTGCAGTTGCTGCTAAACTCACAACTGGAAGCATCATTTTGACTCAGCAAACCACTTCCTTAGCAAACACTGTTACCTTATTTTTTACATTCCTGGGACTAGTTGACATTCCACTACACAACTTAACTGCTCCAAGGTTCCCAAAGGATATGGAGATAAACGGGTCTGCCAAGCGAAGAAGAAAGCTAACATTAAGGGACCGAGCAGTGGTGTGGCTAGCAACACAAGTGGCATGGGTTACAGCAGCACTTTCCTGTACAGCCGTAGCAGCTTCTGCTACCAAAACAGCAACAAGGTTGTATTTTTGGACATTTTCCTAACGAGCATTTGCATTTGCATTTGCATTCGCAGCATGGGCATTCAGGGCATGAAGGTAATGAAAAATGGCAACAACATTGGCCGCATGAGATGGTTGGGCAAGAGCAGCATGAGCATTGGGGTAGTGTTAGACAAGTGCAACACTGCCCACACTCCCCACAACCCTTACCGCAACACTGCCACTTCGGTAATTTACAGCTGCCACACGATAGGCATTTACATGGATTACCACAGTTGCAGCATGGTGGGATATCGAGATGGATCGAGCATCCAGCATAACAACAACAGCAAATCCATGATAACTTACAACAAGGGAATCCACTGCATCAAGTGAGAATTTACCTTTGTCAAATACACTAGACAGTACCCTGCCTCTACAAAATACTGAGTCTATCTACTTCATGTTAACCTAAGATTATGACTGGGAAGCTACACTAGCCAAATAACAAAAGTAAGGAACAAAATGACAGGACGAGAGTCATACCAGAGCCATTTCCAAAATTGACATCTACGGCGGTGCTTCTTATATCTGCTTAAAAGAGGAAACATATAGCATGAAAAAGATACAAGGACTTTTAGGAAATTACAACGACGAGAAACTCCTTACGTTGGTATCAAGGGATCTGACTTGGCGACCACATAGTCAGCTACCCTGCAAAGTTTGTTGACACAAATCAACTAAGTGGGAGATAACTTGATGGGCTTAACATCCAATTTAGTCCAAAATTCAGTAAGTCTTTTGGAAATGAACTAGTATACATACTCTTTGCAGCATCTAGATGCAGGTTGAAGACCTTCAGTAGACTTCAATTCTTCCTGATCCAGAGACAATTGTCAAGAAAAGCTTGTTAATCGTTCATAATGAATCGGGAAGTTAAGAGAAAGCAATGGAGAAATCAAACCCAAATGATTAGATTGAACATCAATGCCAATGGAATTTGTCTTGTGGGGAGTACTTAAATCTCACTGTTACAAAAATTTGAAGAAGCATTGACAATATCATCTCATAGTTAGTGTTTCCCTCTTTTTCCTTAAACTATGTAGAATAAGATGTCTAGGGTATCCAGTACTAAAAGTAAAACAAGAGCTCCAAATCGTCAAGGGAAAAGAACGAAAAATGTAAACATCTACGTGAGACCCTCACCAGGAACCTTTTATTTGAAAAGAACAAGAGACAGAATCAAAGGGGTAAACCGATTGGTGATAACTGATTTGGAGACAAGAGTGCAAATAAACACTCCTTTTGGTTTGTAACATATTGAAAGCTCAGGACATAGAAGGGTGAAGTGTGACTTGTGGGATGTCCCAGTCGGTCCCCTCCCCCACCACCACCCCACCCCCAATAGACCCCAAACAATATAAGGGACAAATCCCGAAAAAATCTCCAAAACTCACCAATGGGGATCTGAAATGGAA